CGTTTACAATCTTTATCAAGCATTATAAAATAAAATTTTGATATATATATATATATTTTTCTAGATAAAGAAAGTGGAATTTAAGGTTACTAAATTTAAAAGACATTCCCTACAGTAAATTTAAGACGTTATATCTTACCTTCTAAAACATGAACACATTTACCAGCAATACAGATTTCATCCTCAGTGCAGGAATGATTGAGACAATTGCCCGCCAAGTGCTAAAATTAAATGACCTCAGAGTTGCAATTACTAAAATATGTGATTCAATTCATTCTTATTTAAATGAATGTTTCAAGATTTCTTTCTTACCGTTGAGAAATCTTCCCGTTCGACATGAAAAATGTGGTCTTGTGACTTGTCACTCTTTATGCCAAATCTTGTCTTTAGCCGGCATGTCTTTTCTTCTCGTATCCAATCCACTGGGCGACATAATATAAACTTGTAACAAATCATCATGCACATTGCAATGTCAACATTTCTCAAAAGTTTAAAACCTGGAACTGAGGAATTTTCATAATTGCTAACGATCAAAGTTTTGGGGTCGAATGGTCGAAGCACTGAGAGTAGCATGTCTGTAACAGAGCTAGAACTTGTCCAAAACGGTAGAGACTGATCTTAGTAAGTCTTCCAAACATTTTTTAAAGCGATACGTTGGTCAAATTAAACGGTGGGTTCTACAGGAACAATCAACAGCCTCTATTGTCTTCATTTCTGTAACATATATAGCAGTCGTTAAGGTCTGTCTATTTATGATTGATGACGCCTCATGTGATAGTTTCCTTGTCAGTATTGTTCAATAGTTAAAATATTGTCGATTTAACTTTTATCAATGATTTGAGTAAATTTGAAAAAAAAAAGCATAATTAAATAAAGGTGGTAAATATCGAAAAAATGGAAGGATGAAGCATTTCATCTTTTTTATTAATGATTAATTGACCTATGGCGTACTTTGCATGTGTATCAGACAAGTAAAGCTATACAGGGAGATGTGTAAGGATTCCAAACCCTAAGTACTGAGAAGGCTCATTTTGCAAGCAATCATGAAGCGATGAATTAGTTTGGTCCAGCCTGTAACTCTTATAAAAATCAAGTAAAATATCTTTATTGTACTCAAAACATTGTTCCATGCATTTATTTTTGATGCTCCTTTGAAGGTTTTATATGGTTTATGTAAAAAGGCTAAAGAAAGTTTAAACTTTGGTTCTTGAACATCAGAATGCAGGCTTGATCATTGATGTTGCCAAACATTAGCATTTTAAGCCGCCACAGAATAATTCTCAAGAAATTTTTTCCTTAAACTAAATTTCGCCTATAATGGAATTGATGTTATAAACATTAGCAATATTTTTCTGTACAAAAAAGTCTATATTTCAAGTTGAAGTTCACAGCTTGCTTTTAGTACGTATATTTATCAACTATTGCTTCCTAGCTTTTTAATTATTAAAACTCGACAGTGTCGAGATATCGAAACACCTAATACAAAATCCTCCCACGTGTTCATCATCTTCCCCCTACAATTACCATCCCGCTGGACGCTCCACCACCGGTGGCGTGAATATAGTTAACAATGAGGGCCTTTAATCACTTATCTCATGAAGATGAAATTTTAGTGAACCCTGGTCTTTCAACTGGCAACAAAATTTTTAAAAACTATTAAGAATTCTGTCAAAGATTATGTCAGGCGACGGGTCAAATATGAAAAAGAAGTCTTTTACACTTTGTTAGAATGGATTAAAAATATATGGTGGATTTTGAAATCTCGTTTTAATCGGTTGAGGGACAATATAAAACACCTATGCTTCTTTTTTTAGTACACAACTTAATTCACAACTAGAAGAATATTGCATAAGAATCTAAGCATGGCCTTTCTATATTGCAGCAATGTCACTGCGTTTTACGGAAGCTCAAGTAATCCGCATGTTCCTTAAACTGAAATTTGCCAACAGAGGAATTGACACAGTAAATATTAGTAATATTTAGTAATATTCTTAATTACAAAAGGGTCAATTTTGTATTCCACCATATTTAAAGACGAAGTCCACACTTTGTATTTCTTACAGATATCGACTAATGCCTCCAATGTTTTTAATTACCAAAAAAATCTACAATGCCTAGATATGGAACATCTGGAACATAATTCTCCTAAGTGTTTATCTTCTTCTCCACCCTACAACTTTAGTCCTACTGGACGCGTCATTAATGATTACGTAAATATAGTTAATAATGAGGACCTTTAATCACTTATTTCAAAAAAGACCAAAATTCAGGAAACCCCGATCTTTTAAAAGGCGTCATAATTTCAAATGAATTCTTTGGAAGATAACGCCATGTAATTGGCCAAATAGAGGAAAAGGAAAAACTTGACATTTTCTCTAAATGGATTAAACTTATCAGATGGATGTTGAAATCTCGCATTAAGCGGCTGAAGGGGATAATAAAAACCATCTATCCTTCTGTCTTCGATAACTCAGAAGTGAAAAAATAGATAGATTTACACGATCAATACGTACTGGTTCCTGCTGACAAAGCATCTAAAAATATTGTCTTTTTAAGACCCACTATTTTAATTGTATTTTAGAGGAACTTGGACTCAAGTCCATACCTTGTATTTCTTACAAATGTATCCATATATCCAAGCTTGTATTCTAGAGTCAAGAATCAAATTGGGACTTTACTTTACATTTCCAAATAAAACATTTAATAAATTCAAAGGTGACAGAGCAAAAATGTTACAGAAAGTAAACTATACATCAATAGTGTTCATTAATGGGCAAATGAAATTCTTGTATTTCACACAATGAAGCTTTCCTCAATATATTTGCAATTATTGGTCTTAGTTGACTAAAGTATCTCAAAACGTGTGCATAAAAATCATTTTCCTAGTTAACACTCATAAATAACTAATTTAATTGATTTATCGTTAATTTTTCAACATAGCATAAATACATAGTAACGTTAAACGTGCGACGTTTGTCTTACAATGTCAATGCAATTTTTGAAACATCATTATCTATGGTAAAAGTAAGTAATTAATGAGTAATAAAAATTTCATTTTCAATTACCTGTAAGTGTGAAAAAAAAAAGGCCTATCTCCATTCATTCATGCATTAAATCCAGCGAAAGTCTAAAAGATAATTGATTGTGGAAGCCAAACAATGGGCCCTAATTAGAGTAAGTTAACGGTTTAACATAAAAAGCGGTAAAACGGAACATAATTTGGAAGTTCATTTTGAGATTTATAAATTTATTCATTATATTCCTAATCATTATCAAAGACGATCTTACCGTGGCGCTAATATATTTTTTTTTATTGTGGCGGAACTATGACGCTGATGTTTTAACTGTTAGGCTAAGGAATTTAACTGGGGGGGGGGCACGTTAAAAGACCCTTGGAGAACCCTTATCTTTTAAATATCAACTTCAGAGTACTTATGTGTAATGAATCAGAGTATTTTAACAAAGTTTATGCAGATGATGAATGAGGTAGGGAAAATTGCAAAATTGAACGATAATTTGTCTATTGATGATCGATAAATTATCATCCATGTATCATAAATTGAAGGGCAAAATGCTTTTCTTCTTATCTAGCAGTTTATTGAAAGAGTTCAGCTTCATATTTGAAAATAAGTGAAAATTTACTCTTTGAACACTTTCCTCTTTCCTTTCATGTTTACTGTCTGATTTTTACTTCCCTCCCATCGTACAGCATGTTGACATAGCAATGATAAAATATACATAAACAGGGAAACAGCTGCATTTGCAGTTGACCATTGTAATAATGATTAAATAGTCCGCTGTGTGTTGCTTACAAGTATACAATGTCCATTTTATACTTGTTCAAAATTTAAATTTTGTGCAGATGATTAGAATGAATGCAGAACTTATGAATCATGAAAAAAAATTGCCTTTCAATTTCTACTTTTTCTTGTCATTTCTAAGACTTTTAGAAGTACTTCCTGTTCTAATAGTAATGATAATTAATCCCAGAGAGACATAGCTTTTATTCATTTTACTTCATTCTGTACAAAACAGACAAAAGTCATATTATATTTCGGACTATTTCATCATTGTTTTCAATGAAAGTGCATTCAATGTAAGGTTGATAAGTTGGTTATCAATATGCTAGATTTAAAATACAATTTAAATACTTCTTTGACAAAAGCTTTTCTTGATTAATTGGATTTCTAACAGGATCATTTTTACAAACAAATATGTAAGAAAATTATCATTGTCTATGAAAATGAATTCTTCCACTCAAACATTAATCAAGATTTCCGGTACACCTAAATATTCTCTGTAAAGGATTAACTTCAACGCAACTAGTACTTTCGATTCGAAGACCCTGCAAAATGAAGAAAAATGATGAGCTGGAATTTGGTAAGCCAAAGAAATCAAACTATTTCTTTCCTGACCTAAATCAGATACGAAGATAGAAAGATAAAATAATCTTTATTTAAAGTCGGGTTTTGTACAAAAAAAAAAAAAAAAAAAAAAAAAAAAAAAATAGCTCTTCAGAGCCATTTTCCAACTTCATAATAATATTATGTAATATTATCACAACAACATAAAATATGGAAGTTATAGTACTATTTCAATATCACATTATTAAAATATAACTTCATCATAAAATACATCTAAAATGACAAAACACGTATTTGTCACAGGTTTAACTTCATGTTATATTAGTGTATTTCTGAAAGAATTCCAGAGTATCACATTTCCAAGACTTTCATCCAATATGTTGTTGATTTTACTTTTAGTAAAGGGCATTTCTCTATGTTTAAGGTAGTGCAATTGGCATGTTTTCTTTGAAGATAGATAATCGAAACTGACATACAGTGTAGCTGTACAGATTTCCCTTCTAAATTAACGTCAACCTTTAGTACGGCCCTGGCTCTGAGAAAAGCCAGCATCCAAATTTAATGCTAGATTCAAAGAACATGAGCAAACTGACAAATGGTGATAATGTATAAATACATTTATATTCCAAACAACAGCATGATGGGCAGTCAAAGGGTGAACAGGAGAGGAACTGGAAGAGGGTGACCGAAGTGTATCGTCCAACACCTGGACTTCACCAAACTACCATCAACCTATGGTATATGGCCCATAGTCAGCAAAATTTTACTCAAGAGTTTATCAAGGTAAGCTCTCAACAACCTGTGTTAAATATTGAGAAACTGTGATCTGTGATGTTGTCGCCGGTGCTTGTAAGAAGTCGGTGGTCCTCCGTGTTGTTAACAGAGCTTGTAGAATTTCGCACTCACTGTTTTTGTAAACAAGATGTCCTAGTTTTCTTACCTGTACGAAAATTTACGCCCTGACCTTAGGCGGAAATCAAAAGACGGAATCCGCCTTTATCTATAAAGAACTTAATAAGACTATTAGACGGAGTCCGGGTGGAATCAGGGCGGAATAGGGCTCGAAATATTTAAATGAGTTAAGGCGTATTCCGCCTTTCCTAATATGGATTACTTTCAAGGCATATTCCGCCTTACCTGCAAGGCGTATTCCGCATAAATGGCAAGGCGTATTCCGCCTTACTTAGGATAGCTGTATTCCGCCTTACTAGCAAGGCGTATTCCACCTTACTTAAGATAGGCGTATTCCGCCTTACTAGCAAGGCGTATTTCGCCTTAATGCTTAGAGGGATTTTGCATTAATGGTTACATAATCTGCCAATTACAGTGTATCAGCTATTGTTGTTTCAGACTTACAAACTTAACGATTAAAAAAATGAAATTATACAAATTATAAATCATTTATTTACAAGTTCTTTAAAATTCAATGACTAAAAAAATTTTACATTTGAAAATGTTATGCCTTGCCTTAAATTCACATGAAATAAAAAGATAAAAAATATTCTACCAAAACTTGATTTTTCTTCATACATCTACATAATAATGTGACTGTCACAGTTGAATTAACAAATAAAAAAAGAAAGACAATCCATTGTTTAAAAGTCAATTCAACAAAACAATTAGCTGTTAATTTACCACTGGTTGATTATTTTCACAAAATTCTTTCTGTCTGCAAGGAAAGAGTGTGTCATTTTATTGTTCTTCTTCCTAAATTATCTAGAATAACTTAATTATCTTTTCCATGATTCAAGCTTTCCTTTGCCATTCTTCACACACGGTCACCACATGTTGAAGTCTATAAAGAAAATACAAACTGAGATGAATTTCTCGTTTTAAAAGAACTCTTCAACATTTTTCAATAAAATATAAAATAACTCATTTATGGCATTCTATTCTGTATTACAGATCAGGATGCAAACAGTCTTGTCTAATTTCTCTCAACACTAAAACTTACAAAATATAAGAATATTTTTTCATATATTTATCAGACGTCTGATGTCTTCATGTATTCTTACCTCTCATAACCTCCAATACAGTTGAATGAAGCACAGGTGTTAGATTGCATTCCTTTTTCCCATGAATCTTCAGCAAGCTCTCAAATGAGAAGTCTCAGCAGCATTGCCAGTTTACTGCTAAGGGTGGATGGACAGTGACTTCTGGCCTTCATCCGGACTTGCTGCAGTTGCCGCAGTCCTCATTTTACCTTTATTGGCCAAAATTGCTGAGGACTTAAAAAGCTCGAAGTGCTGAAATGTATAACACTGCACTGCAGAAAATCCTACTATCTACAGTTTTAAAATTGACTTCTCTTATTCAATTACTTTTCATAATCTTCATATACTTGTAAAAGGTAATAACGTAAGACCCCATTCTACAAACACTTTTAATTTACATGTATATTCAATAGCTGGTCATGAAATATGTATATCTAACTTAAATGAATATACTCATATCCATGTATGTTTTGAAATGTACATTTGCAGCTACTTATTGAATAATTAGGAAAACTATCGTGTAGATGCATCAACGTTAGGAGGAATGATACACTTCAATATGGATGAAAAAATAAATTAAAATAACTTGTTCAAATTTCACCCCAAAAATGTATTTTAAGAATTTCATCAAGGTAGAAAAAAAAAAGAATTCCATGTACAGGATGTATATATTAATAGTTTAAATGATGACTTACATCTCAGAACCTGACTCCTAATCCCAACTGAGCAGCGAACTACACTTTTAGAAGGGTGTCTGTGTCACCACTCCACTAATAAACCACTGGTTAAACCAGTGCTAACACACATCATAACATTTTTCAATCGTGATTTTAAAACTGGAAGTAACTACAGGTCGCTAATTTTAAAAGGAAATCGTATTTCCGGAAAACACATACGCAAAGTGAGAAATAAAATTACAAAAGTACATGTTGATTAATAATTGACAAATGAATTTAATTTGGTAATTTTTTTTTATCCTTTATCTTTGTACTTTTTAATATTTTAATCTAAAAGGATATACTCATAACATTGAAAACAGGGGGGGGCTACCCTGCGAAATGGCGCCTGAAATTTTATGCGCAAACTTTTTTTATAACATCTGGGTCAGTGTAGAATATAATGTGAATATAGGGCCTCAATGCTATTCCAGTTGGAATTAATTATCGGAAGTAATGGTGGAGAGTGGTGTGTACATATTTTGGCTGTACGAATTCAAAAAAAGAGAGAAAAGAAAAAAAAAAGCTAAAAATTTTAACTTACCATTGTTTTTCACAGTTACATGTATTCCTGTACAGTGTTTAGAGGTCCTTCTTTGTCCATTCAGCATGTTCACTGAGCATAATTTGCTTCACTTCAAAGCTTAGTAGAATAACACCAAAAGTTGTATTTTATCACTCTTTTTTCCAAAAACACATAACAAATCATCTTCAGAATAATAATTTACAGGCATACATCTTGCCTGAGTTCCTTTTTAAACTGAATAAGATAAAAAGGTTCATCAACCAAATTGACCAACAGTCATCACTTTCAAAATCTGCATTCAAACTGACCAATGCATCCAAAGAGAGGCTCTGCCTGAAAACTTCCACCCCCTGTAGAGGGTGGTCATGCAGGAGCGCATTAGAAACGTATATCTGATATACAATATGGCTGCAAAAAAATAACTCCTCTAGGAAACGCAATCTTCAATGTAATAAAAAGCCTAATATTCAAAGTCTAATAACTGGATTAAAAGCCATGTTTGACTATTTTTTTTCCGAATATCTCCCCCATTAGTGCCTTTAGAAAACAAGGTCATCTAGAGGAATGAATCATGTGGTCATAATTTAAACTGTTCGTAATTTAAAGACTAATGCAGAATCCGTCTAAGAGCTAAGCCGGAAAACGTCTAACAAAAATACGCCTCAGATTTAAGATGGAATCCACCTAAGATATGAGGCGGAAAACGGTTAAAACTAAGATGTTTTCCATGTCCGCCTTTAGTACGGCTTAGTCCACCTAGCACTTAACCGGAATCCGTCTCAGTCCGCCCGGACTCCAGGCGGAAAACGGTTAAGAGTTTCGTACGGGTAATAATAATAATAATAATAATAATAAAATTTTATATAGCGCCTTATCTTATGTGAACTCTAAAGCGCTTTACATAGATATAACAATCTACATAATAAAAGGAAGACTAAAGCAATCTTATATCACCTATAAAATAGTAAGACATTCTGAAAAAACAATCACGTTGATATTAAAACAAGCCATACGTATATACACTTTCCACTTCAAGTAAAGGCTTTTATAAAAAGATGAGTCTTAAGTTAAAAGTTTTTGTATAAATTGTTTTGAAAATTAAAATTTTTAGTAAATTCTAATTGTTATGGAGGCATATGTAATTAGATGGTTCATTTTTATAAGGTACCTAACTACATGTAGATTTTGTTTTATTTTTGAAATATGACTTAAAAACCATGACAATGGCCCCAGTTTGATTATCAAATATTAATAGTATTTGACAATTTTTTTTTGTCTTAAAATAATAGATATTTTTGAGGATAATGTTTAGACAATTTTGCAAAATTGAACTTTGTCTTTGACCATTACTGACAAGGTATAGAGAATGATCAGTTTTTACAATGAATTGATTGAATTATAATGGGGTACAACAAATATACGCCACAAAGAAGAACGTGATTGATCTTTGATGTTGAGTATTATTAATAACCCAGTTCTCCCTCTCCTGTCCCTTTGACTTTCTGGACCGGTTCGGGTGGGTTAGAGATTTCTTGTTTATGTTGTCTCAGCACCATGACAACCAGAGGGTGTTCTGTTTTTATCAGTGCATTTACCTGAGGGTTAATGTACGGGCGCTCTATTTTATAAAAAGAATTGGAGCCGAGGCCAAGAAGGGGCCAAAGCCCATGGCTTTTAAGAAACTTGAGAGCTACGAGTATACTGACCCGCTTAAAATCCAATGTTTTGAATGGTTGTTATCATTGTTTGTCAATATAAAATAAAGTCATATTTTAATAAGATACACTGTAAATATACATTTAACGTAAAGTAGTATTTGATTTATATATAGAGAGAGTAAGGCGAAAATAGTGTAATGAAGTTATTTAAATATATCATTTACAATCCTTCAACAGCTTCAATAGGGTAGTGAGATGTGTGTTTGTCCACGAAAGTGAAGATACCGGGTTCGACCCCCAGGAGTACTACACTTTTTCTTAATAGGAAAATATATCCAAGTTCTTGCTGTAGTGTTTTATTCTAGAGAATTATTGTAACTGATAAGTGATATTTCAGAATGTATCTTGAGTACCCTTAAGAAAAATGTTATGATTAATTAAAAATACTTCTCAAGAATTTGTGTTATTATGCCTAGAGATTATTAGATCCTACATTGAGAGAATGACAAATGGTTCTAAGGCTGTTAAGACAAAAACATAAATAAATAAATAAATAAATAATACTATATTGTTTCTCAGGCACCGCCGCATCTGGTCAAACACTGCCTCATTGATCAATTGTATTGACATATTGAAAAGTGAAATAACTCAATTTCGTTTCTGTTTTTACCAAGTTAAAAAAGTCGCCCACGTGGCGCAGTGGTTAGAGCGTCTGCTCTAGAGTCGCCAAGTAAGGAGTTGATCCTTACGTCGCGGGTTCGAATCCCACTGTGGGACGTGGAGACCGGTCCTTCGGATGAGACCGTATAAACCGAGGTCCCGTGTCGCAGTAGGTGCTGGCACGAAAAAGATCCCTCACTGCTCAATGGCCGTAAGTGCCGAGTATAGGACAAAAGTTGCAGCTTTCCACCGACAAGTGGTGGCATCTCCA